TTTTTTTTTTTTGGAAATTTCCTCCAAGCTGTGGTTTCTTTGTTCATATCGAACGTTGTTTCCTGCTGTGATTATGAGTGGACATTTTAAACCCTGCAATTTGTTTCTTAGGTTTTGAGTGAGAGTGACGAAGCACCACTGGGTTGTAAGGTCGACGTGGTCAACGAGTCCCTGTCAGTTTTCCTCAAGCAGCAAGGCAACATTAATGTCGAAGCGGAACTCGAAAAAATCAAGAAGAAAATGGAGGACCTGCAAAAGTGAGAGCCTTTCATTTTATCATTGGTTCACGTATTCAGGAAAATGGTTAATTACAATTCTACCCCTATGGTTTAGGCTGCCTATCCATTACGCAACCATAGCTTACAAAAAATGCATACTTATACTATGAAATATCACTTTTGTTATATCAATTTTGTGTCTAATAGTCGGACCAGAATTAACAAGTTGAAATTTACTACACACAGGCAATGTGACAACTTGACGAAGAAGACAAGTGCTCCAGGCTACCAAGAGAAAGTCCCTGCCCATATCCGTGAAGTGGACGAGTCGAAACTGGCATCGCTCATGCAAGAACTTCTGTCTTTCAAGGAAGCTAGTGAGCATTTGGAACGCGAAACTTCAAATTACTAGAATATCGTTAAATTATTTTTATTGTTTGATGTCTTTTTTGGGTCTGCGCTTGGGCTCGTGATTTGGCTGATTGACCCGAAAATATGGCCCCTACTCTTCATTGTTTGTTCTCTTAACAACAGGCAATAGCTGTTAGAATTGGCTCTATTAAATTCTCCTCTTTTATCTGTTGGTGTCTGTCCTTACTTACCTTGTGTAACTGAATAACTGAAATTTTGTCCTTGCTTATTATTTTTGCTCACAATTTTCGTAAATCATAATTCGTAATATAATATTAAGGAAACATCTCGATTCAACTATATTTTAAATTATGTAATTTTAAATACTAAATATGTTAATAATTGTATAAAATGCAAATAAAACAAACAAACATTCATGGTTATCATGCTAATAAGTACATAAGTTTGTACCAGTATGAAATGAAGCATCTTCTGGATTATAATTTGGTCTATCCCCTCCCATAACAGTAAGGGAAACAAGAGAAAACTAAGAAAGTCCCTGTTGTTGTGGTCAACGTGAGAGTGCATATACACATTCATGTGAGTGTATGTTAATTTGATGAGTTAAATCACATGCGTATTGACTCGTGTGTGGTCAGATCTAGAGTTAAATTAAACGAGCTGTTTGTGAGCTTGGCTTGGCTCGACTCGTTAAGGCTCGACTTTGGTTCGACTCGTTTGATAAACGAGTTGAGCTCGAGTTCATCTAAAGCTCATTTAGTTAAGCTCGGCTCGATAAGGTTTGTTAATACTCGAAAAGGTGTTTTTTAATGTATTTTTCTATAGTTCGGCTCGATTTGACTCAGCAAGGCTTGAGCTCGATTATAAGCTCGTTAAGTTAACGAGCCAAGTCGAGCTCGACTCGTTAAAGGATCGAGCTCGAGCTAGGCTCGGCTCAATTACACCCCTAGACTCTAATCACATTTTAATTTGACGAGTTATGTCACATGCGCACTGACTTGTATAGGTGTGTTTGGTCATCCTCAAATCACATGTACGCAAATTTGTATGTTAATTTGACAAATCACACGTACAGAGACTCATGTATGTGTATGTTAATTTGACGTGTTAATTTGATATACCACATGTACACAGAGCCGTGCAGGTGTATGTTAATTTGATGAGCTTGGAATTGTACATGTGTGTTTAATTTGATGAGCTAGATCACATGTACACAAACTCAGGTGGGTGTGTGTTAATGTGATGAGTCGTATCACATGCACACACACTCGTGCATGTATGTTTCAGGCGTTTATTCATTTGACGAGTCGTATCACATGCACACACACTCGTGCATGTATGTTTCAGGTGTTTATTCATTTGACGAGTCATATCACATGCACACAGACTCGTGCAGGTATGTGCTAGTGTAAGTTAATTTGTTGAGTCAAATTGTATGCGCACAAACTCATGCAGTTGTGTGTGTTAATGGAACGAGTCATACCACATGCACACACATTCGTGCATGTATGTTTCAGGTGTGTGTTAATTTGACGTGTCATATTACATGCACGAGTTTAGCACACAAACTCGTGCAGATATGTGTCAGTGTAAGTTAATTTGTTAAGCCAAATTATATGCGCACAAACTCGTGCAGTTGTGTGTGTGTTAAATTGACGAGTCAAATCATATGTACACGAACTCTATGTATCTATAGTAACGGTCGAGACCCGAATTTGCTCACATTCACCGTTCACCTATTTAAAAAACACCATAGATCAAAATATTTTTTCCGAAAATAAATCAAACTTCTCGCAAACTAATAATTAATAATCTTGCTCTGTTTTGGTTTTTTGGTACAAATAAATCTTTAAAAAAAAAAAATAGAGTGCAGCCCCAAAGGAAGTAGGCAACAGACGTGGCGCTTCCTCATTCGCTACTACAATGACGCACCCGAGCAAAATAGGACACGTGGAGACACTTTATTCGACTATATAACATGGTATAACACGCGAGTCTCTTTTATAACATATGAGTTTATATCAAATAGTGTAGAAATCAGCAACTCACATGGATGATCGAGCTTCACTGTAGCTTGTATGAAGGACTTGTTATAATTGTTTTTTAAAACATTGAGAGAAGTCGTGTGACGACTTCATTAAAACTCAGTTGCGTTTAATTTTCCTTTAAGTGCGCACGACGTTGCTATGAGTATGTTCAAAGACGATGTCGTTTTCTTCACTGCATGAGCATTATAAATGTACTCTGTATGCGCATTTGAACAGAAAAATTCTCTCGATCTATAATCGCGATTCTTCATGGTATCTAGAGCATGTAAAGATTCTGTGAAGCTTTTTTGTAAATGACGACCGATCGGAGCGAGGCACAGCCATTGCTCAACGCGTGAGCTGGAAATAGCTCGGAATCGCGTGAAGATCATCCTCTCTTCATAAGTCGATCAGATCACCCAGGTATACCTAGACTGTTTTTTCTCAAACTCTTGGAAAATACAAAATACACCCATCCATGTCTTTCAAAGTTCCAAACATTCTTAATCGTCGAACAAAAGGTGCAATTTTGTAAACTAGAAAGTTGGACACATAAAGGGCCTTTTGCTACTCTCTCTCTCTCTCTCTCTCTCTCTCTCTCTCTCTCTCTCTCTCTCTCTCTCTCTCTCTCTCTATCCTTTTTAGAAAGCATATCTTTCCCTCCCTTTTAGAAATAGTGGATTTCTGGGCTAAACATGGTTAGGTTCTTCTTTTGTATGTGTATCAAGTGTGTAATAGTTTGTCGAATTTTGAAGGAAATTTTTAGTTACATAAAACGTGTTTTGCATGCGCATGTATGAAAGTATGTATATTTAGTAACTATGAAGCCTTTTTCTAACAGCACCCCTATCATTTGCATAATCAAAGAGATGATAAAAAAACAACCCTTTAGTGTTCTTCAAAATCTTTTCTTCAAGGATAAACAAAACTACAGAGATGATCAAAACAACAAACTAAGACCATAGTGTACAATAGAAGCACTTTGCCTGCGAATAAAGCTTCTTCGAGTTTACGTGATTATTAAATCCGGAAGTGCAGTGTAAAGTTTTAAGGCCGAGGACAAAACACGAACAAAAGTGGAGTACATAAAGAGGGAGATGAAGAAAAAAGAGAGGAAAAAAAAAATAAAATAAAACCTTTACACAACTGAAGAAATCACACCATAGCTTAATTTTCCTCATTCTCAGGCCCACCATTGCTAACCTTGATTTCTAGAAGGCGCTCGACTGGCTGTCTGCATATAGGGCACCTGTTCGTTTGAAACCTCAACACTTTTGCACATTCGCTGCACATACACTGCACCAACAGGAAAGTGATTTATGTCATCTACAAAGTGCCAAAAAAAAAAAAAAAAAAAAAAATACTCACAGATATATTGATTTAGGGACAATTGCAGCATTTACTGATTTACCGTCGAGGTTTACCTCTTTACCAACTAAAGAAAAAGGGGGGAAGGGAATGAATAACTTACAACTTAGGTTCTGGGTTCGAGTCAACCATGGAAATACGAAAACAAATCCTCATATTCGAAAAATAATAATATTAATATTACACCAAACACGTATTTTGTAAGGACATCTGCAATTTAAAACATCTTTAGGAATAATAAAAAAAAAGAAAAAAGAACATAGTCTTGATCCCCTGGAATTTGCTCAATAAAGAAATTAGAGAATTTGCTTAATCGAGAGAGTACCATGTGCCGACACGGGAGAACAGTGGTGTCCCGTGGCTCGGAAAGGCAAATGACACACTCTTTCCCCGGATCGTTCGCGTCAAAGTCACCCTCAACCGAGTTCCCAATCCCATAAATCTCCTGCAGCTCATATCTCATGCCGTTTACCCACAGTATCTGCTTAATCACCCGAACGTTAAATTGACCTTTGTCCTTCTCAAACACGGCCTGTGTTATCTGTGAGTTTGTCGTTCCTCCATCCGAGTTCCCACTCTGGGTGTCGGGCGAGGCCTCAGCCTTGACTGCCAGTGGGTAAATATCCATGTCAGCGTCTTTCGAAAGCTCTGCCTCCTCAAACATTGAGAAGTCTATCCCGGTTCCTGAGGGCTGCTTGAACTTCTGGGCTAAACCTTGCTGAAAGTGCACTGTAATGGGTGGGTGTAGACTCTCTTTCATTGGGGTCAGGCAACAATCTTCACCTTCTTTGGCAAAGAAAATTATTGTGATGCTGCAAGTGACGAGGCATTTTATGACTTTATAACGAATATCACGCGAAAGAATGTAAACAACTAGCATAATAATCCTTGAGAAGTGTGAAGAAATCTGGAAATAGAATTGCAATCTATCAACTAACGCAATCCTTGAGAAATGTGAAGCAATCTGGAAATATAATTGCAATCAACTGAAGCATGATCTGAAAAATGATGATATGCTGAATGAGCTGGCATAAAGATCCCCTCAAAACATCGTTCACGTACAACCATAAGGACAAGGGAATTATAACCAATATCACTCACAACTCACAAGAATCATCTAACATAATTATTGAGAACTACAAAGAAATCTGGAAGTATAATTTCTATCGATCAAAACATGATCTGAAAGATGATGTTATGCTGAATGCTCTGGTATAAAGAATCTCTAGAAACACCGTTAAAATACACCCATATGGACTTTTTGCAATTATACCTCACTCAAGGTCATCTGATACCAAGTTTGCTCGATGACACACAAGTTCAGTTTCATTTCCAAATTCCGCTTTGATGAGATTGCTATTGATTAAAACCACTCATACTTAAGCAATTTATCACAAGAACCCAATGACCTGCCTAGAAACAACTTAAGCTAACATGAAAGTTAGTTCCTTAAAGAACAAACAAAGTACAGAAAATTCATTAGCTAGCACAGCCAAAACAGCTATGGAATATATCACAACAAACGAAAAACTAGAAAATTCATCAACCAAAGTTAAAAACCATCAACCACGAGTAACACCGAACAACAACCACTGTATTTTACCTTCCGGCAACTGTGGCATCGAACGTGAACGCAACTAGGTACTTCCCGGGATTGGCCTCGTCCGGCTCGATCCTCAGCGTCTCCTTCTTCAAATTAACATCGTTCCGGATTGTGACCGCCTTCTGGTGCTCCACGTAAGGAGGAGGCGGCGGCGGCGGCGGCGGTTGCTGCACCATCGGGCCATAGGGGTACCGCCCGTTGACCCAGGCCCCGTGCGCCGCCCCCGGGTGGTGGTGGTGGTCGTACGGAGCAAGGAGCGGCATCGGCACCGACGACGGGGGCGGCGGGGGCGGGTAGTAACCGGGGTACTGATAGTACGGCGCCGCGTTGGGGCCTGGGTACTGTGACGGCGGGTACGGCGTCGCCGCCGCGAAAACGTAGCGATTGGCGGTGATCTCCGGCTGCGGGGCCTGCGGCGGAGGCGGTGGTGGGTGGGGATGGGGGTGGCTCCGCCTGCCTGAGTTCCTGCTACGGCCGTGGACGCCGCTGCTCCCGATGTTGCCCATGCTTCTTTTTTTCCTGTATATTATGCAAGTTTTTTGCACCGATTTTTCCTCAAATTTTGCAGAAGGAAAACAAAAAATCAACGGAGAAATAACAGAAACGGAGCAATCGTTTCTGAAAATTTATCTCTTTCTTCTTCAAAATTTTGGGTTGAATTAAGGAGAGATTTTGGATGAGAGAGGGTAAAGGAGATACGTACAAGGGTAGATATATATGTGTGTATATACGTGTTGAAAAATAAAATAAAATATAAAATAAAATTATTTCTGAATAAATAATCCAATATTATTTAGAAAATAAAAAAACATTAGAAAAATGTTACGATCCCGTTACGAAGCCATTCTGTCAGAGCCATTAGATCAGACTCGACGGTTACATGATGATATAATGATTACAAACCTCGACGGAATTGTTTCTATAGCATTTTCCAGAATATTAATCAATCAAGTAATCTACACTATTAATAATTGGTTTCGTCACATCATAATTTTTCAGACGGTACGTTTGCAGTGTGGGCCACTAGGCCTCAAGAGGGGCGTGGCCCATGGGCCTTGGTGATTAATTTGGGAATTGGGTTTTGCGTGAAGTTCTACCCAATGAATGGGGCCCAGTGGGCCATTGGGGTCTACTTGAAATAATAGAAATTTCAACACGTAGGGTTCTTTTTTCCCGCGTTTTATCTAGAATCTGACGAAAAGTAAAGAGGGTGGGGAAGAAAAAGGTTTATCTAATAAAAAGAGAATAATTAATGTTAAACTCTAAAATTTTTGTTTGGATTTGATTACTTGAGAGATCGTATAATTTTAATTTTTTTGTAAATAGATGTAAAATTATTTATCTCTTTAAATAATTAAGGGGAAGCTTGTTGGAGTGTGTAGCAAATCACAATTAGAATTGTTAAATGAAATAAGTCGCTCCTAATTTTGTTCATCTGAAATTTTTTTATACTTCGTTTAGTTAACGACTCATGCCGAGATCAGTTTCATCAGGATTCAAAAATATGAATTTTTATGTAATTTTTTATAAGTCAACTAGTTAAAGTTCGTACTTTGTTTGGTAATATTGATAAGAAAGTTGATCCCAAATTCGTTTATCGATTCATTTAATTGGCTAGCCAAACTCAACTAAGATTGGACATGAATATCATAGTTCAAACCCAACACGACTCGTTTACACGAACATGACCAAAATATTCTTAGTGTTATGCCCCGTTTCTTTGTGTATAAATGGACATGTTCGATAAATGGCTTTTTGATGAAAAAGCAATGTTTTTTGCATTTTAGTGGTTTTGACTTTATCAAGCAGCTTAAATTACGTTTGGTTGATGGCAGTTCAAGTTAGCTTTTTGTTGATCAAACCTCCAAATTTGAGACGCTGCTAGTTGCAGCGTTTGGAGTTGATTTTTGAACAAAACAATTAAAATTACTTAATTAACTATATTTTCAAGTCACATGGTCTGGGAACTTTTGTTTTACTTGGACTATTATTTATACTTTTTTTAAACTTATTATGATTTTTTTTATTCTTTATATTTTTATCATATTAAATTTACTTTAATATTTATTTACATATTAATTATTTCTATTTCTAAAAAAATTATACATAAGTCAACATAACTTAGAATGATAATATGTTGATGTCTTTATAAGTAATTTTAAATGTTAACAGCTAATTAGAATAGCTAATTTTACCAAACATTTTTTTACAAACAGCCAACACGATCAGCTGGTCAAAACAGCCAACACGATCAGCTGGTCAAAACAGCCAACACAATCCGCTGGTCAAAACAATTAATGCAATCCGCTAACAACTAACATCTAACCGCTGATTACCAAACAATGCCAATATCTCATATGACAATTTTTGAGTCAAGTGCAATCATTTAAAACGGATTTATCTTGCACTAGCTGAAAATTTTTCAATTTCTCTGCATAATCTAATAACTATGAAGTTGATTTTAAGAATAAGAAAGAAAAAAAAAAAAAGAGTCAGGCCAATATTGTGAATTTGGGATACATGATCGTCCAACATTCCCTATTTATAGTATGTACAAATTTTATAGAAAAATGCAGTTAGTGATATAATCCCCTTAATATATTAATTCAGAATGCGCTGAGCCTACGTGGCTGTTTCTGGTGCTTCGAAATCGTATGTGGCAAAATTACATGCTTCGCTATTAGGCTTGTGTAAATTTTAATTTAATTCCAAATAAAAAATAATTAGGTTCGGATTATCATAAATATGTTGATTATTTATGATCATGTTACATGTATTAATTACATTTTAATATCATTCGTTATTATAACTACTATTGAATTGTATATATATTTTAAAAGTTAATAACTTTTGTATTTTTTATCAGTTTTACATATGTAATATATCAAATTAATCTTCTTTTGATGAGCTTCGATTTAACATTCATATTGTATGTATAAAAGAAATAATTTATATTTATTTTTATAACAATAATAAAATTATTTTTAATATTAATTAGAAAATAAAATTATTTATCAACTAATATATTTATATTTCAAGTAGTTATATGACATAAGTTATAAAAACTAATATAATATAACACATGTAAGTCATATGTAACACATATCATTCTAAAATATATAGTAATAATATTTTTTTTTTTTGCAAATAAGTAAACTAAATTTAATATAATTTTCTCATTAATTTTATAATTTAAGAATAATTTTTTAACAAGCACCCGTGTAATACACGAGTGTTGTACTAGTTTGGAGAATAAATCATAAGAGCATTGACATGTATTCTAAAATAAATATAGTTATGACACGTGTCAATACAATAATTTGCAGATCCATTGGCTCCATAATATTCGTTTGACTTTTCATTTTCACGAACTCTTAATTTTTTTTTTTCGAAACAATAGAGTTAATTTTTTTTATGACGACCATTTTTTTTTACTTTTATTCTTGTTTTTTCTAGTTTTCTCATATATACATTAGTTACTAGTACAACACTCTTGTATTATATGAATGCTTGTTAAAAAAAACTATTTTTAAATTTTAAAATTAATGAGAAAAGTTATTTAAAATTTAAATAATTTTACAAAAAATATATATTATTATATATTTAATAATGACACTTGTTCTTGTGCGACTTACAAGTGTTATATTACAATAGTTTTTTTTTTTTTT